ATATGTTCATGTAGTAGTCATAATGTTAATATGTTCATGTAGTAGTCGTAATGTTAATAATATTATTGTATTATAGAATGGACTGTGTGTGTGTGTGTGTGTACCTGCCCCCCCCTCAGTGTTCGGGCTGCTCTCTGGGTCGGCTGAGAGGGGCTGGGCTGATGAGGCTGGAGTAGGGGGTGATGGGTAATTGAGCGACGTCTCATTCTCGTCTCCTGATTGGCTCATGGGGACGCCCGTTACCACGGCGCCGGAGAGGCTGACGGGACGCTTAGTGACGGACAACTTCCTCTCTGAGAGACGAAGACGTAAAGTCAGAGAAACAGCTCAAGTATCCTCCAGAAATAATTATATTAGTAATATTTTCATATTTGTCTCTTTTGAGGACACCAACAATATCTATAAAAACTTCATATAATATTCATATAATCATTTGCAATATCGTCGAACAAAAATATATCAAACTTATTTATATCTTATTCTTGTTTGTTTCCGTTTTAGCTCAATAAATTAACGTCTATTTTAGTCTTTATGCTCATTTCTACACATATGATTTTCTTTTTGTACATATTTAATTCACTTTTTTTTTTATCAAGTATTTATGAATGTGAAATACATCAAAATATTCTGTCAAACTCTGAACACAGTTTGGTGTCAGTGTTTTACATCCTGTGTCAGTTTACAGCTTCCTGATGGAGACGTTTAAATGTTTTACAGACGCACTCTTCTTCTGTCCTTTGTACTGCTGACACTTCCTCCTCTGTTTGGAGGCTGACTGGAGATCTCTGGAGCCTGAAACACAAACACACTTTATTTATTCATCTGGATTGAAGCTTGTCAAACTAAATAGGAGCTCCCTGTCAGAATCTTACTTTGGCTTGTTACTAGGTAGAACAACTGACAGGGGCTCTGTGATTGGTCAGTCATGTGGTATGTAGCTGATACAGCTAGAGAAAGCTAAACTCATTCAAAGTTATTATATTGCCTTTTTCCACTTAAAAAACATAGCCCGTCTCCGCCCATCACTCT